CCGGAGCGCGGCGCGGAGCGGAGCGGAGGGGCCCGGCTGTCCCGTCCCGTCCCGTCCCGTCCAGCCCCGTCCCGTCCCGCCCCGTCCCTGCGCTGCCCGGCCGCGCGCCAGCACCCAAAATGGCGCCCGCTGCCTCGCCACCACCGGAAGGAGCGGGAGGGAAGCGCGTAGCCATTGGCCGCGCGCCGCGGCAGCGAGACCGCTGATTGGGCGGCTGCCGGCAGAGCGCGCGCCAAGGGCCGCTGCGCGCCTCAGCTCGGAGCGCGCGGCTGCCGCTGGGCCTCGGTGCCGCCGCCGCCATGTGGAGCGCGCAGGGTGCGGGGGGCCGGCGCGAGCGGGGGCACCGGGGGGAACTGGGGCGGGGGACACCGGCACCGGGGGACACCGGCACCGGGGCGCGCGGGGGCACCGGGGCGCGGGGCCGGGCGGCAGCGGGGGAAGCGGCGCTCGCGGTCCCGCCGCCCTCACCTCTCCGCTCGCTCCCGCAGGCGCCTTCGAGGGCGGCTACGGCGGCGCGGGCGGCTACGTGCAGTCGCCGGGCGGCTTCGGCTCCCCCGCGGGCACGCAGGCCGAGCGGAAGCAGGTAGGTGGCGGCGCCGTTGGTGCCGTTGGTGCCGTTGGTGCCGTCGGCGGCGCCTTTGGTGCCGTTGGCCGGTCGCTCAGCCCCGCGCCGCCCTGCAGCGCTCCCGCTCGCAGAACATCGTGCCCTGCACCGTGTCGCAGCTGCTGGCGGCCGAGCAGGCGGACGAGGCGTTCCGCATCGGCGCRGCCGACGTGGCGCAGGTCACCGTGGTGGGCATCGTGCGGCACGCCGAGAAGGCGCCCACCAACATCCTCTACAAGGTGGACGACATGACGGCCGCCCCCATGGACGTGCGGCAGTGGGTCGACACCGACGTAAGCGCCGCGCCCGTCCCCGCTTTGCTCGGCCCCTGCTGTTCTCAGTGGGGGAAAACCCCAAATTCAGGCGTTCTGACCCAAACTGGGGCGCAGCGAGGCGAGGGCCACTCCCTTCTGCAGAGGAACTACCAGCAGGAGGAGAGGAAGGGGCCTCTCTTGCACCAGGGCTGTTCAGGTTAAACATTAGGAAGGGTTTCTACGTGGAAAGGGCGTTTAAGCGCTGGAAGAGGCTGCCCGGGCAGCAGCCGGTCCCGGTGGAGACCCCGTCCATGGCAGCGCGTGGGGAACGTGCGGATGAGACCCCGGGAACGTGGGTTAGCACCGAGAGGCTTGCGCTCGGCCTCGGGATCGTGAGGGTGCCTTCCAGCCACGATGGTTCTCCAGATCTCCATTTGCACTCTACACCCTTCACTAAAAACTTAGTATTTCTCAAAAAAAAAAAAAAAAAAAAAAAAAAAAGGCTGTTTTGGAAGATATTGGGTGATTTCAAACCTCTGCAAGCCAMGGGAGACCTTGCTGTCGCGGGGCTTGCTGGTGCTGCACAGAGCTCTCCTCCCGCCTCAAAATCCATGCGTGGCTCCATGTGGAAGTTCCTTTACTGCTTTTTGTATTTCTCACTCGCAATATCTGTTTTTATTGCGTGTAGGTATGTGTGGCTTTGGGGCTTGCTTGGGATAAACCTCCTTTCTCAAATCGCTTCCTGCGCTGCTGGGGAAAGGAAAATGGGAATGAGCAAAACCTCAGGGTTTTTCTTCCTTCCTTGAAGGAGGCAGGTGGTGAGAACACCGTGGTACCTCCGGGAACCTACGTGAAAGTCGCTGGTCATCTTCGTTCTTTCCAGGTAAAATCACGTTGCGTACGGAAGGGTGTTCCCGCAATGAGGCTGGAGCAGTGGCCAGCCGGATTAGTGATCTTGTAAAGCAGCTAGCGGCGTTTTTTAGACTGTGCACTTAATGATCATCTTTGTTCAGCCTTTCCTTGAGTATTTTTGACAGCACTGTATTAATTACTTTGATCCTAAATGCAAAGGAGCCATTTAAAATGCCACTGTTGATGAGTACATCTGTTTTCTGCTTCCACTCTATTCGTGGGTGTTTGTCCTGTAGAGCTTAGACCTTGCTCCAGTTACTGGGGGTCATAATGTCACGGAGCTGCTCCGTGAYAGTCGCTGCTCGGATAGGGACGGTTACCCACCACTGTCCTTCCTCCTAGAAACAGTCACGCTGGGTGTTCAGTGTGTTCCTCTTGGCACTGATTTTTGTTTTGTTTTGTTTTCCTTCCCTGAAAGAATAAGAAGAGCTTGGTGGCGTTTAAGATCATGCCTCTGGAAAACATGAACGAATTCACCACGCACATCCTAGAAATCGTCAATGCCCACATGATCCTCAGAAAGAACCTTGCGGTACGTGCTCGGATTCCCTGGCACCGCCCTCACCCCCGGGCCGCCCGAGGGGGTTACTGGAGCTCTTCCAGTGGGGAACTTGCGTTCAACTCGGGAGCCTGAGGGGCTCCAAATCGCTGGAGGGCTGCAGCCAAGAGGTGGCAGGAACTTGGGGGGGGTTCTTCCCCAAATAACTTCGGGAATGCTTTGGGAATATTTGCCGCTCTTGCCAGGCGTCAGAAATAACGTCTCGTTTTGCTGCGTTGCAGGCGGCGCCGAGGATGCCGCTGCCGCCGGGCGGGCCGGGCGCCGCGGGCGGCATCGGCGGGGGCAGCCTGCCGCTCAACGGGCTCACGGCGCATCAGAGCCAGGTGGGTGCGGGCGCCGGGGCAAGCAGAGCGCCGGGGCGCCCGGCGCAGCCCCTCTGTCCCAGGGGGGACAGACGAGTCTTGCTGCTGACGGGCACGGGGAGCAGGGGGTCTTGGCAGGGGTCGCTGCTGTGGTAAGAAGGAGCCAGAGCTTTGCTCCCGTAAACACAGTGGAACGGAGGTGTCTGGGGTGCTCCGGGCGCCGTGGACATACGGGACAGGAGAGAGGAGGGGACGCTGCTGGGAAGGGCAGCGCAGGGCGCCGCACTCGTGAGGAAACTGCGGGCACCCACGCCGGGCTCTTGTGCTTGCAGGTGCTGAACCTCATCAAGAACTGCCCTGCTGCAGAAGGAATGAGTCTGCAAGAGCTCAAATTTCAGCTCCACAATATCAATATGGCAACAATCAAGTAAGTAAACAGGAACAGGGCTTGTTTTGGTAATTCGGACTGGCCCTCCTAAAGCCTGATAAAGGTAGGGGGGAAAGGAGCAGGATGCTTTCTTGCTAAACCACTCAAATAACTTCAGACGTTTCCAGGAGCGTGTCTGAGCTTCGGAAGTCTTTCAAGGTTAGAGTGGTCAGCCGCAGTGTTGATAAAATGCATCACTTTCCAAACCAATTGTTTAACGCTTCAGTAACGAAGGTGCACGTACCTGGGAGCGCCTGGGTGTGTTACGCACTGCTGTCCGCTCGCGTTGGAGGACTGCCTTGCTCTCCTTGCATATTGGGCAAGGTTTGGGAATAGATTATTTCTTTTTTTTTCTTTGCTATCTCATGAAACTTCTTTCTGAGACTTAAAAACAACAGTGAGATCTAAAGGCAGAAAATTCCGTTATTCTGTGTTCAAACCTTTTTTTTTGAAACAGAGATTGTAGAGTTGTAGGCACTGCTAGCAGCTATAGCAAATAGAGTGGTGACCAAGAGCCATTGCTGAGCACTTTGCCTTTATTCTGGAGAAACCTTCTTTCTCTTCCTGCTGAGCAAGGGAGCAGCAGTTCCACTGATCACGAGACAGAGCCATGAGAGCTTCCCAGAGGGAAGCAGTAAGGAGAGAAGCCGGRGGGGTGGTCTGTGGGCAGGAAATTTCGGAAGGAAAAGTCTTGACCAGACCTCTTCTTCCAAGGCAAGCAGTTGAATTCCTGAGCAGCGAGGGACACATCTACTCAACTGTCGATGATGATCACTATAAGTCTACGGACGCCGAGTGAAGCCRCGCTTGGTCCTCAACAACGTTTCCACCTGGATGTGGCTCTCAACAAATGCCCGTCGGTGCCCCGAGCTGCGCCGCCCGGCTTTGCCCCGCAGAAGYTCCGCTCTGCTCGTTCGGCCCTCGGGCGTCACAGTGGCGCCGCGTGCGACGCTGTCGATGCCCTGAAGAGCCAAACGCACAGAGTTCTGCTGACTCCATTCCCCTGCTGAGGCCTGGTGACCAAGAGCATCGGTGGGGAAGAACAGCACCCTCCAAAACTGCAGAGTTCTACTTTCTTTGTCTTGTTTTTTGTTTGTTTACCAATAGAGTTACCTGGTTAGAGAGCAGAACTTCTTTCTAATTTTGTCCTGGGGAGATCATCTTTCGTTTTTGGAGTAGTTTCTAACTCGGCTTTCATTACATTTCATTCACAAAGTGGGTAGCCAGCAGCAGTGCTCCACTAATGTACAGTAATCAAGACTAGATTTTTTTTTTTAATGATTTTAGTGGTTGAATTTAAACCTATATTTGTACTACAGCAGGATCTTGTTACTGAAGCCTTGGAGTATTTCCAGTAAAATTTTAACTTGAGTAGTCTGGCATGTTGTGGCTCTACGGGCATTTGTTCTTTTCTAAAGCATCTACATTTGTAAAAGTGGTCCAGCCGCGCACAAACACAGCATGTGCTTTCACAGGGGTTATTTGTTTTTGATTGTATATTTTTTTTCTTTGGGTTTTGAAATAAATCGCTCTAAAAGGTCAAACTAAACCCAATGTCTGGACACTGAGAGATTAAAGCATTTTGCTAATGAAAGGAGTTACCAGTTGCATCACTGGCTTCCAACTACTGCAGAGTCATTTTTAAAAAGGACACTTTAGCTCAAGCTGAAAACAATTACATCCTCTTTAACAGAATCTCAGCTCTATCTGTGACGTATTTTGGGGCTAATCTGCACTATGTAATAGTGGTATGGGAACTAGTGCATCTGGAAAGCAGCAGTGACCCCTTTTGCGGGCGGTTTGCAKATTAGGAAGCAAAACTGATCATTTATGGAAACTCAAATAAGTGAAGTTCAGAGGAGTGAGGACTGCACAGAGTAATTATGTGACTGGAGAGTMAGCTGGGAATTTTTTACTTAGTAATTAGCTGGGAATTCTTTGCCCGTTTGCTGTTTATTAAAGATTTCYGAAAGTGCCTGCTTTTGCCTGGCTACTGGGAGGATTTGGAATAAAGCTTGSATCTGTTGGGAAGAACTGTTGGTTCTTTCGAAAAAAAAAAACTAATTTGAAAATATTAGTGAAATTGGATCAAAACTCTGGGGATGCTTTTGGTTCTAATAAAGGAGATGAGAAAAAAATATTGGAATATTTTCAGTTGGTCTCATTTTCTTTATGCTCTCCCGCCTCTTTTCCTTGGCTGGAGCCTGTCTCTTTTCCCAGACATAGCTGAGGGCTTAGCTCTTATTATGGGATGATGAAAAATGCTCCTGGAGTTGTTTTAACTGCTTCTTGAGAAGGTAAAAAAAAAAAAAAATCCTCTGTTTGGTGAATTCTCAGCCCCAATCCTGGCTGTAAACCCAAGCGCAGAATCGGAGCGGGAGAAGACACCAGTGCCCAGCAAAGGTACCACACATAACATATAAATGTTATATGATTCTGTATGTAGTTTTTGCACACAAGTTTAATTTAAGACCTAAGCCCATCTTTGGGGGATCCCAAAAAGCAGAGGTTTAGAAAGGAAAGAGAGCCTGCATCTTGCGAATCGTCTTTTGAAGATCTTCATCGATGACTTCGTAGTCGTGATCAGAAGCATCGTTCTCCACCCCTAGAAGAGCACGGAAGGGCTGGGTAAACGCACGGGGCTGATGGAGCGGGGCAGGGCCAAGGGCCCTGGTTAAGCCTGGTTGGGGAGAGGCTGCTGCTGAGGATTAACTGGTGGGGAGCCAGGCAGGGAGCAGGGAACAGGAGGAGCTGCGCAGGGAACAGGAGGATCCAGGCAGGGAGCACGAGGAGCAGCCGCGCAGGGAGCTGCGCAGGCCGGCGGCGCCCGGCGGCGTCACCTTCGTCCCTCGTGCTCGGTGCTGGTGCAGCCGGCGCGCAGGGGTGCGTGCTCTCCTYGCTGGGGGTGCTCAGCGCCATGGAGCAGCTCCCGTCTTTGTGGGAGCAGGAAGGCCCGGGCACAGCCGGGGACGGCGCCTGCAGAGACAAGACGAGTGGCTGAGCGTGGCTGCAGAGCTGGCGGTGCCCGGAGCCCTTCCCACGGGAGGCGCCAGCCCCTGCTCCCGCTCCCGGCCAGGAAGGCACCTGCGCTTCGCCAGGACGGCCGCGCTCGGGGCCRGGCCCCGCGCCGCCCGCCTTGGCCTTGGCCTTGGGGGGCCGCGGCGGGGGGGCCGCGCCGCCCGGCAGCTGCCCCAGCAGGCGGTAGTAGAAGTGCTCGTGCAGCTCCTCCACGCGGGACACGTCTGCGGAGCCGGGCGGAGCCACGGGCTCCCCGGTGAGGAAGAGCGACACATCGAGCCAGCGCGGCGGCACCTCGAAGCGCTCGCGCGGCKCCTCGCAGAAGCTGCCCGCCAGGAAGGGCTCGGTGACGCGCGCCTCCAGCCGCAAGGCCGAGAAGGAGGTGAGGACGTCGCGGGCGAGCGAGGGGTCCTTGGCCACCACCCGGACGTCGGCGGGCAGCGGCAGCCGCTCCAGCGCCTCRGCCAGGCTGTACGTGTGGCTGTCGCAGAGCTCCTCCACGAAGGCGGCCGCCAGCGCGAGCGGCAGCCGCAGCTCCTCGCCGTCGTCGGCGCGGGCGCAGAGCAGCGTGGCGCCGAGCAGCTCCCGCGCCTCCAGCCGCTCGCCCGCGCCCAGCGGCGGCGCCTCCTCGGCGGCGCCCTCGCAGTCGCGCGTCACCACGACGCGCAGGCGCTGCCCCGCGCGCAGCCCGCTCGCCAGCTCGTGCACGGAGCCGAACTGGCGCGGGCGCTGCCGGAACCGGCCCGCGTAGGCGCTGGACAGCAGGAAGCGGCGGCCGCCCGCGGGCGCCGACGCCAGCACCCGCCAGGCGCAGCCGCGGCCATGCAGGTGGATGCGCTGCCCCTTGCGCAGGCGGGCGGCCCAGGCGCTCTTGAAGATGCCCGGTGGAGCGGGCCCCTCCAGGAGCTCGGCCTGCGCCGGGAGGGCTCCCTCCATGTGCAGCACCTCGCTGAGCAGCAGGGGCTGGATGAAGTGCACGTGCGGCRCCTGCTCCGTGACGTCCTCCACGTCCACCTCCAGCGTGGAGGGGATTTTCACCACCTCCTTGCGCACTGCGAGCAGGAGGGCCGCGCTGAGAGCGGTGCCCGGCTCCCCGCGACTGCAGCACCCATGGGTGCTGCCCGGGTGCCGGCGCTCCCGGGGCTGCCGTGGGCCAGGGCTCTGGGATCAGCTGGGCGCAGCTCRGGTTTGACCCGGGTGCTGCGGGGATGAAGCCAGGGGCACTACGGTGCGGAGCCGCCCCGTCCTCCCTGCCCTCCGCGTGGCCCGCGTGCGGCAGCTCCCGCACCGCGGTGCCCGCACACAACCACACACCCACACGCCTGTATGCCCATACAACCGCACACTTGCACACCCACACACTCGGACACGCTCACACACCCGTACAACCGCACACCCATACAACCACACACCTGCATGCCCACACAACGGCACACCCATGTACTATTGCACACCCACACACCCGTGCAATTGCACACCCGTGTGCCCGCACACGCATACACCCGCACACCCCCGCACACCCGCCCACGCGCCGGCCTGCACTCACGGTGCATGACGGCCTGCACCTCGTAGACAGGGCTGAGCAGGACGGGCCCCGGGGCGAGCGCGGGGCAGAGCAGGCGGCGGGGCCGGGCGGCCGGCGGCGCCAGCAGCGCGGGCAGCGCGTGGCGCGGCCGCCCGCCGCACGCGAAGAAGCGGCCCCGCAGCGCCAGCGGCAGCCGCAGCCGCCGCCCGCCCGCCGCCCGCACCGCCGCCGCCGCCTCGCCCTCCAGCGCCTCCAGCCAAAGCGGCTGCCCCTTGGGGAGCAGCTGCCGCCCCACGCGCAGCTCCGTGGCCGAGACGAAGCACAGGGGCCGGGCGGCCGCGCGGCCCCGCGCGCTGCCGAGCAGCTCCCGCAGGCTGCCGTAGGGCCGCGGGTCCGGGCTCTGCTGGAAGGGGCCTGCGGGAGGCAGAGCCGAGCGCTGCGGAGCGCCCGCACGGGAGGGTGCCCGCGCCCGGCACCCATGGGAGCCCCGCGGCTCTGCTCACCCGCGAAGGTCGGCGGCAGCTCCCGCGTGTGCCCCGTCTCCRCATCCTCGCAAATGACCTTCTGCAGCCTCACGGCGATGACCTTGAGGAAGTCCCCCGTGGACAGGCAGCACTCGCTGCCCGACACCTCGTACACGGAGCCTGCGGGACAGCACGCGCCACGGAGCGGCCCCTCAAGGAGACTGCCGTGGGGCGCAGCGCTGGGGCGGCCCCTCCAAGAGGCTGCCATGGGGCCGGCTCCTTCCTCGCGTTGCTCCCACCACAGCAGCCACTGCTTCCAAACTGCTGGGAAKCAGGTTTCTCTCTGCCCTGTGACTCATTCCTCACCCAAAGGCAATGACAAGGAGCGGGCAGAGGGGACCCTGGGCCACAGGGGGGGCCCAAACCCTGCTGCTTGGGATGGGCTCATCCGTGGGCACTGCAGCTCTGCCCACACAGGGGACCCTGCAGCCCAGGGTCCGGCAGAGGGCTGGGGCGCACGGGGCGGCCCTTTGGGGACAGATGGGGTGGACCAGGGTTTCCACGAGYGCAGGGCGGGGGTGGCAGCTTTGGTGGCCCCGCAGCAGCCGCGATGCTGGGACAACACGCGGCTCTAGCAGGAGCACCGCCAAGGATGCACGAGCTGGAAGGGCTCGGATGATGCTCCGGGTGCTGCCGCACGGACATCGCTGGTAGGTGAAGAACTAGAGTGGTTGCTGTTGACGGGAGCAGCTCTGTGGGACAGCCACATAACCGCTGCTCCGCATGAGCACAAGGGAGAAGCTCCGAGTGCAAGCAAGAAGAATGGAATAAAAATAAGGAAGGAGGAGGGGAAGGAGGAGTGGAAGCTGGGAGGAGGTCTGAGCAGGGCGCTGCCCGCAGGCCCTGTCCCCTCCCCTGTGCCCCAAGAGACACCGAGGGCACCCTTGAAGAAGGAAGTGAAGACGCAGCCGGTGCCCGGCTCGGCTGYGGGCACAGACCCCGCGCCGGGGCGGGCAGGGAGCCCGGCCGCGTGCCGAGACGCCCCAGAAGCAGTCAGAAATAATAGGATTAATAATGACAATGAATAAAGAAGTGTTTAAGAAGCATTAGCACTCTGGGGTGGTGCGTCCGCAAGGACCAAGACGGCTTACTGCCCATTGCGCTCCGGTCTGGCCATAGGATCAAGCACCATTTGCTGGGAGCCAAGYGCAGGAATCCTGCGGGAGCCGCTGCTTATTAGTAAGGAATGAGCGGCAACAGGGAGCTGGTACAGTCGTAGCCTGGTGTGATAATGGGGGAGAGGGCCATAAGAGAGAAGGGAAGCAGTGTGGAAGCGTGGGACAGAACCAACGGCTGGAAGCCCAAACACAGGAATCCAAAGGTGAACGGAGGCAGTTTCCAAGCGCCAGGAAAGCGCTTGGTGGCTCCTGGAGGATCTGTCCCCTGGCTGGGACAAGCCCAGTCCCCCTGCCAAGGGCAGCACGAAGCTGCAGCCACCTCCTCACACCACCAACGGCTCAACAAACTGCTGCTGTTTGAGTCAACGAGGGCGTTTTTATGCAGCTTTACGGTGTTATCAGGGCCAAAGGAARCCCTTGGGAAAGGTGCCCGTGCATCCTGCCCGGAGGAGCCAAGCTGCGGGCCGCCCTGCAGGGGCTGCTGGCCTGTCCCCCTGCCCACGGGCACCCAGGGTGGCTCCTGCCGGAGCGGGGCCAGCGCGGGGCTGCGGCTGGCATGAGCGCCGTGCGCGGGATGCCAGCGCAGTRCGGAAGGGCGCTCGGGGGCTGCTGCCCCTCGCACAGAAGGTCTCCTGCTCCGCTCCTCCCGCTCCTCGGCAGTGGCACGAGGACCTGGGCCCCCCCAGGACTCCGGCACCGGGGAACCACCTGCGGCGGGTGGCARGAGGGAGCGGTACCGGGCGCCTGGGCTGACACGGCCTCTGGCCACGGCTCCCACCAGGCGGGAACCCGGCACTCACCTTGGAAGTAGACCCCGGAGCAAACCCTGAGCACGCGGGGCAGCAGGGCYGGGTCCAGGGAGCAGATGTACTCGTGCAGGGAGAGGGGCTCCATGGGCGCACGGCGGCGCAGGGCTCGGGATGCCACCCTGGCTCCTGCTTTCGCTTCTGCMTCTCACTTCTGCTTTGGGCAGGGCTAGATCCCCTCCCAGGCTGCAACCGCGTCGTGGCGGCTCCTTGGCCCGCCCAGGCCGCTCCGCTYGTCCGCCTCAACTCCAGCCGATGGATCAGACCGCGGCATCGGAAGCAGGACAGGATCAAACCTGCTGCGGCATCGGAAGCAGGAYGGGCCTTCAAGCAGAAGGGAAGTTTGGAGAAAGATCTTTGCAAACGTGATGCCGAAGGGGATGCCACCGACTCCATCACGGCRGGGGAAGTTGGCTGCGTCTTGCAAGAATTGGCGCGTTTCCCGTTAGCTGGTAGAGGCTGAGCCAGTGCGAGGGAGCTGCTAACGCGGCCATCGCCCCTTGTCACCTTCTCTGCCGCTGCCGGGCAGAAATTCCCTGTGGCAGCTGCAGAACTGCCCTTCAGGAGCCACCGMCTCTTCCTGGGTCGCCCTTGGTCGTCCCTTCACCAGACAGAGCTGCCGCAGCTCCCGAGCTGCTCCTCGCAGCCCGTGTCGCTCCCTGGCGACCTCGGCGGACCTGTGCTCCCATTCCCCATGTCCTTCCTGCGTTCCCAGAGCAGCCGAGGCAGCACCAAGGGCAGGAAGAGCTTCCCTTGCCCTGTCAGCCACGTTCCTGCCTTAGCCCAAGATGTGAGTTGCCCTCTTCGTGGTGAGAAACCCACATGCCCTGAAGTGAGCCCTGCGGCCTCGCGCACGGGGAGGGGAGGCCTGGGAAAGGCCCTGCATCAAATCCTGCCGGAGCTGCGGGGCCCGGGAAGGAGCCGGACGCCCGGGGAAGACGTGCTCCACGGTACCTGGCGGGGAACGGCGTCCGCACGCAGCGGAGCTGCTCTTACAGGAACGCGGGCCGCGCCGTGGAGAAAYGCGGGGCTTTCCTGCCAGCTGAACACGGGAGCGAAGCCGGGGCTCGGCCTCGCTCGGCTGCGGCTCCCGGCACAGCGGAGCCCGGCGCTACACGGCAGGGAGCTGCGCGCCAAGCCCTGGAAAACACATGGAGAAACAGTCAAATCAGAGCATTCCCAAGCACCTGAAAAACAGGGAGAACCTGAAGGGCATAGGGCAAAGACCTTGTAGCCAGGGAAACAAAAATGTTTGTTATCTAGGCTCCGACTTACATGGCCTTTTGCTTTGAAAAGAAGGGAATCTGGTTCACACAAGACTTTCACACGCAGGGTGTGAATGTGATTTGCACTGCATCTCCTGAGCAAATGACAGCGATGCTGTGTTTAAAACGTCCAGGAGAAGCGTGGGCTCCCATGAGCTCATTGGGATCATTTCTCCACAGTTTCCATTAACATCCGAACAGGGGGTGGATTTATTTATTATTTGTAAAATATTTATTTTTTATATATCTAAAATAAAATAAAAGGYCGCCGAGTTCAATGAAATGGACCAAAACCGTGTGGTGGCCTGGGCTGACCTGTACGGACTGCGGTAGGTACTGCCAAAGCCTATGCAATACTCATGTGTTTTATCCATCTGTAACAGCTGTGGCAGCTGCTCTGTGCCCCAGCGGTTGCGCTGCATGCAGAGCTCGGGACGGAGCAGGGCCGAGGCGGGAGCGGCAGCCTTGCATCAGAGCACGTTGCATTCTCTTGCCCGTGTTTCGCTCACAGCTGTTCGCATCACGAGCAGCCAAAGGTGATGGAAGCACGGCAAGGACTTGGCAAAAATCCTCACGCTGACCTGCATGTGCGCAATGGTCTGAACTAGGGTTTTGATCAGCAGCGAGGAAGCATAAAGCCCAGCTTTAGATCCAAGGGTATTTTCTAGCTAGTAACTAGCTGAGCCTAAACAGGCAGAGGCAACAGAGAGACCCCAGCCTGCTCCAACAGAAGGGCACACGATTTCCTGGGAGAAACCTCTGCTTGGCAACAGCCACTGGGCACAGCAGCCACCAGGGGCTGTTTTACAAGTGTCTCTGCCGCTGCTTCTTGCAAAAGCCAACCTGCACAAAACAGCCTTTTGCAAGAGCAAGGTTACCCACCAACCTGCTTTTTTCTCTTTTTTGAGGAAAAGAACCTCAAGCAGCGGAAGCGCTCAGCCGACCACCCCTCTAAATCACGTGAAGCGTTTCCATGCGCCGGGGCGGCTGCCGGAGCGCAGGGAGGAGGGGACAGAGCGGCGGCGCCGCGTGGCGGGGAGCCCTTTGCGGGGCTCCGAGGGCGGCGGATCCGCGGCACCGTGCGACGCCCCAGCTGCCGCGCAGCTCCCAAGGAGCCGGCAGTTTCTGCAGCAGAACGGGAAAAGATGCACCCCTGCTCTCTCATCCTCCCCCCCMGGGCACCATTTCAACCCACTGGGTACCCTTTTGGTCCAGCTTTGGAAAGGTGCTCCAGGCTCCCACGGGAGAGATGTTCAGCCCTGTTTGGGTGCAGCTGGAGTTCAGTCTCCATCTTCTTCAKGCAGTTTGTCCGGAAGGAGCGAGTGGAAGAGCCGAGCAGGACAGAGCCAAGCTGGGGAACTCAGCGCTGCGAGGGAGGAAAACAGCGGTAAGTGCCGGGCAGGAGAGGGGCAGCTCGTAGGGCCACCCACACTCCCCGTTGGGCAGCTCCACCTCTCCTCTGGGGCCTACACTCAACAGTGGCCACCTGGGAACTGCCTGAGGAACTGCCCAGCCTTGCAGGACGTCCAACAGCTCTTGCACGTCCCCAGACCCCAGAGCAGGACCCCGACCCACGGCAGTGCAGAGAGGAGCCAAGAGAGCCCCTGCAGCCGCTGGCAACCAGGGCTCTGGTTAAGCTGGAAGGAGCGGCCCATTCCCCAGGGAGCAGCTTCCCGCTGGGAGCACTGCCAGGCAGCAGCGACTCCAAGGAGCAGAGCAGCACCCCGTGCTTGTCTTGCCCAACTCTGCCTTCCCYTCTGCCGTGCAACAGGGACGGGAGCTGCGCTGGAAGCTGTTGCTGCTTTCCCAGGAGGCCTGGGGCAGCCATCACCTCTGCACAAGCAGCCTCTCTTCGAGGGACTTCCTTCCGGTGTCAAAACCACAAGGGATCCTCCTGCAGAGCCCACGGGCACGGAGCAGCTTGCACAGCCCGGCTCCCGCAACGCCTCCTGCGCTCCATGCACTGATATTCCAGAACCAGAGGGGAGCAATCCTGGTAGCAGGTCAGCTCAGCCAGGATGCCAGGACGGAGGTGGCTGGAAAAACGCGGCCCTTGTTGCTCTTCAGGCCAATGGTTTCTTCAGGCACCACCTCTCCTTCCCCTTCCTAGTTCCCATTCTGCACTGCAGAGCGTGGCTGAGGTTACTAGGCAAGTTGCCGCCTTTCTAATACCCCAAGAAGAAATTAGCTGATGACCACACTGGCATTTGAAACAGGAAACCACAAGTGAAATATTTAATCTCTTACAAAACACTCAGAAAAGGCGGGAGCTGCTGTTTAGGCTGCCCTGCTGCAGCAGAGCGCCCYGAGACGCAGCCCGCGCTGCGGCGGTGCCGTGACTGCGTTTTACCCTGGCAGACGTCTCCGAACGGCCCCTCAAACCGCAAACACAACCACAGGAGGAGCCGGGCGGCCAACGAACACACCCAACGCTGCAAACTGGCAAAATCTGCATTTAATTTACAACATAATAAAGGTAACAGGTAAAAAGCTCAACAGAAAGAGTGAAAAGGCCTATTACATATTACACAAGTGTACAAACGTCTGTACAAAGCCCCTGGATGTTACAGCGTCCCCTCCTGTACTGGCCAGCTATGGCCTCTAAGCTCTGAAATAATGAGAGCTTGTACAAATCCAGGGAGGGGAAGAGCTTTAAAAACAACGAGCGAGAAAGCTTCCCTTTCCAAGAAAGAACTTGCAAAGAGCCACTAAGAGGGGGAAAGAAAAAAAGAGGGGGAAAGAGAGAGGTGAAAGGGAGAAGAGAGATGGGGGAGGAGAAGAAAGGGGTAGAGAGAGGAGAAGGAGGAGGAAAGAGGTGAAAAGGAAGAGGGAAGGGAAAAAAACAAAAGTCCTGTTCAACTTTTACTTGCCTTCACTAGTCTTACCCTAAAAAGCTGCCTTCATAAAACAGACTGGCAGGGAAAAGAAAATTTTACATCCTGGGAGGAAGCAAACCTAGAAAAAAAACAAAAAAAAATCAAGGGAGAAAATGTTTTAAAGAGCACGGAGTGTGTGGATCAGGAATGCCTGAGGCCTGACTTGTTTTCAGTACAACCTGCACCCATTGCTCCCAACTCCGTCAGGGCCAAGTCGCTGTGTTCTTCCCCGCTGTATTTCTGGTAAAGAGGAGGGGGAAACTAGCAGTCCCTCAAGGCACGACTCTGGGCTGGGGTAATAACTAATAATCATTTTTCCCTCCACATCATGATAGAAGCGATCGCTGCAGTGGCACAAGTAGAGCTGGGTTTGCAGCACCTGTCCCTAACAGCTCTCTTTGCAATGTGAAAAACGAGAATCTGAAGGGCGGCAGCAACTATCCAAATCCAACTCCTCATTTTATTCAGTGGACAAAAGTTGTGAAGTGGTATAAAAGAAGAACAGGTAAAATTAGGAAGCCAGCCTGGGGACTGCTCATTTAAGGTGAGGCAAATTCTGACAATTCATATTCTGCTTTTAAGCAGCTCTCATCTCTCACCTGCTGTTGCTAGCAGCCAAAAATAAAATATTGGGAATATTGTGAGTTTAGCTGTTAGTTATGCAAGTCTTCCAACATTTCTCATGGCTAATCATTTTCACTTGTGCCTTGCTGTATTTCGTACCTACTCTAATCTCACAGGTTCTGTCTGCAAAGAGAAAAAATGAAGTTATTTGAATTAGCACGGCCATCAAGTTAAAAAGGTGGTGGTTTCCACTGCGTTACCTCTGCTTTGAGTTATGGCAGTGGAAAGGAGGCATCCACACAGCATTTGGCTGTGTAATACTGGCCCACAGCTCAGGAACCCCACCGATTTCTCATCCATTTCAAGTCCAGGTTTTCATAGACTGGGGGATGCTGTAGTGTTTGCAGTAGTAATCAAAAAAAAAGGATCGAAACTTGGGGAAAAAAAAAAAAAAAAAAGAGAAAAAGCAAATCCACCACAATGCTGCACTTTGTAAAGGTAAAATAAAATTAAAACTGACCTATATTTTGCAAGTTTCAGACCTCCCATCACTGTGGTTTCTGCAAGGCTTGCCTCAGCAGCCCCTTTTTCCAATACAGTGGAAGAGCTGGGAGGAAGCCCAGCGGGAAGGGGCACCGCTCCTGGGGAGCGCRACACCTAGACGGATGCCCCGCAATGCAGGGATGGAGGTTCAGAGCAAAGACCTGCACGGAGAGCAAAGGCTAAGSAAAGGCTGCCAGAGATTTCGGTTCAAAAGGAGACGGGAACTGTATTTTCTTTAACAGACATATAAAAACATTTGAAGACAGATCTTTAAAGGCTATTTCACTTCTCCAACCTTGATATTATATGTGGTTAGGACACTGAAATTTTAAAAAGACGATACTGCACATGAACAGTTTGTGAAGTTCGTGGCTCCCACCCTCCCTCCAGAAGGCCCTGCTCAGATGAGCAAGGACGGGGTGGGCTTCTTGCCCGGCCAGGCCTCCTTGGCGTATTTCTTCTTCTTGGGTTCGTTCACAGCTTCGGGATTAAAGACGGCRGGGTTGGGCGCAGGGTTCATGTTAACTGTGGAGGGTACGACAGGAGTCAAGTCCACATCTGGGGCGAGGTTGGGATAGGGCATGGGCAGACCTCCGATGAGCGCTGTGCCGTGGACGCCGTGCGACTGGGGACCGGCCTCRTTGTGTGTCGGGGGCAGCCCGCCGTACAACCCTCCACTGTACGGGAAGTTCTGCATGCGCCGCGACGCAGAGTCATCCGTCGTCAGCGAGCCCGGATTCTCCAGGCGTTTTTTCTGGAGAAGGAAGCATTTAAAGTTATTCGGGATACAGGAAACAAGAAAGCAAGCTGCCTAAACTGGATCGCAGGGCCATTTTCTCCGAAAAGGCACCTAGGTTGGCAACAAAGCAGTCACAAATGTGGGTGGATTAACCATTTTCCATCTCTTTGTTCCAGAAGATTTCTTTTAGTGTTCCTTGAAAGCTATTTAATAAACTACTAGCAATGCAGAATGAAGGAAGGGGGGACAGAAACTGAGGTATTAGCTCAGGTTTAACTGAGAGCAGCTCTGAGCTCCCCTGCTTTGCCTCCTGAACCCGCTCGGAGACTTCAGATCCTGAGGACAAGACCATGAAGACACAGAATGGAATCCCTCCTTCCCCACACACTGAAAAACACAGYGCAATTTCTACATCACCTTGGTGATTTTATCTCACTCCTGATCATTCTTATGTAGAATTACCCTTTCCCACACATATTATTAAGCTACACCAGTGATCAGTGACATTATTACATCGTTCCTTAGCTACTCTGAAGTCCTTCAGACCTTCCTTACTCTTGCAGTGCTCCATTCCAATGTGTTACTGTAGAAATGAGCAGGATTTGAAGGAAAACTGCCCAATTTGCTAAAAACCACTTAACTGCAAGAAGTGAACGCAATGCCTGTGCCACAATAAAACAGTTTCCATCAYACAGCTCAGTGCTTAAGGTTGTCAAAGACTTGGGAGTGACTCTACCTTTACAGGGACTACTGCAGTCTGTACCATGTTCCTGAAGCGTCCAACAGATGGGTCCACGTCCTCTGTGAAGGGAAGCACAGCAAAGCTTCAGTAAGGACACAGAGGGGAAAGAAAAAGTTGTTACCATTCGTTAGGTGAAGCAGTCTGTGAAAGAACTGGTCCTTCTCCAAGCTGGTGTTAGGGCAACCAGTCCTCGGCCAGCAGAAACAGACCTCACTAAAGCAAGTAGCTGAGTATATATATGGATGGGGACACCTACTGGTTGGCTCAATGTGGGCTTATCAGATAAGCCATTCTGTGAAGAGAAACTGCTAAAAGAAACTTCATCTGCAGAGGGGCTGCCAAAATGCCTAATTCTTAATAACTTGCACTTATGAACGATGCCTTCTATTGACAATGTTCCTATTAACAGGAACACCACCAATATCAAATGGCTAAGGAAGAGAAATGATGACTGAGGAGCTGGCTACATGTGCAGACAGGTCATTGGGAATGAGAAGCACTCATTTCCCATATGCAGACAAGCAGGGGAAAAAAATGAGCAGGAGGTGCAAAAACAGAGTCCATGGGGCAGCTGGCAGGGAAAGCAGTAAGGGAGAGACGAAAAACAAACAGGTTCAGTCCTCATTTAGATGCCAAAGAAGGCGACAATGTAAAAAGTCATCCTGGACCCTTGAGATCCTTCTGACTGATGACATGTTGTGGGGTGCAGCTAAGCGTGACGCTCTCGTCCAGGAATCACAGATTTTTTATTGGTAGAACAGACGAGTCAGCGATCCAGGACCTGAGAGACGTGCCAGCTGCTCTGCCAGAGCAGATCTCAGTTACTGCCACGCTCCTGTTCTCCTTTACACACAAGCATGAGGGATTTCTAGGTGAATATTGCTGAAGGGGTTCCAAAGGCATCRATTAGAGAAAAACAAGCTAGACAGACACTCACCCGGATTAATGATTTCATCATCGTCACTGAACGTCACTCTGGAGTTCTTCCGTTTTCTCTTTGGTCTCTGAATATCCAAGTTTCCTTCCTCTATGGTTAGTGTGGAAATTCTTTTGTTGTGGGCTGTATTAAACTCTGTCAGGTTCTAAGAATATATTCAGAGAAGAAATAGTCTAAGTAACTAGTGTATGAAGTGTGCTTTAATCACATGATTGTGCATTTCAGGCTGCACCTGCAGTACTGTGTGCAGTTCTGGGCTCCCCAGTATAAACAGGACGTGGAGCTCCTAGAGAGGGKCCAGYGGAGAGCTACAAAGGTGATTAAGGGACTGGAACATMTCTCGTATGAGGAGAGACTGAGTGAGCTGGGCCTGTTTTCTCTGGAGAAGAGAAGGCTGAGAGGGGATCTGATCAACATGTCTAAGTTCATGAAGGGAGATTGTAGGGAGGARGGGGCCAAGCTCTTCTCATTGGTGGCCAGTGATAGGACAAGGGGTAATGGGTGCAAGCTGAAACACAGGAAATTCCATCTCCAGGTGAGGAAGAACTTCTTCACTGTGAGGGTGACAGAGCAGTGGMACAGGCTGCCCAGGGAGGTTGTGGAGTCTCCTTCTCTGGAAGTCTTCAAAACCCGCCTGGCTGCCACCCTGTGCCACATGCTCTAGGTGTSCCTGCTTGAGCAGGAAGGTTGGACTAGATGATCTCTAGAGGTCCCTTCCAACCTTGAAGATTCTGTGATTCTGTGATTTCAAAAATATATATACATAGCATATTGATTAGGTTCACTTTTAGGCCTGTAAGGAACCAAGGGTRCTTCAGTGCCCCCCACACTGCTTCCTCACTCCTCCCTAGCTTCCTACAGGAAACCAATGTGTGTTCCCTGGGATTTGACGTGGTGAGGACGCTAGGGAAGCACTGATGACTTGGGGTGCTGTACTCGGCTTGAGTACAAGGCCCATAGCCTTGGCACAAGGAGCCCCTCAAGGGCAGGCTCATGAGGGCACAAGCGCTGGGAAGCTGCATGGAGACAGCAGCTGCCAGCAGGAGACAGCCCAGRCTGTCTCCGAGGGGAAGAACCTGGGACTCTGGACGTGGGCACACAAGCAGGGAACGCCAGCTTGGATATCCCATGCGGGCRCAAGCATCACGGTGCTCACATCAAGTTCCGTCTCCTCCTCCGGCAGGCCCAGCAAGCCCTTGAGCTCCTCGTCGTCGCCGCCCATCTTCTCGTCTCCCTTAGCGGCCGAGGGCAGCGTCTGGGGCTTCTCTCGCAGCGTGTAGGCCCGCGTCGAGGCGCCGAAGGACACCGTGGAGTCGATGGGTATCTGCTGTGGCTTGTGGGCTTCCAAGCGGATGTGGCCCAAGAACGTGCCATGGGCTAGGGGCAGCGGAAGGGAAACAGCCTGTTAGGCGCCCGCGTGGGCTCGCAGTGCTGGAGCCCAAGTGCTGGGAAGCTCAGCACCCGCACGTGCACTCCTTTGCTCATTACTCTTTCGTTAGTTCATTAGTCTGGATTATTGTCAACTGTCCTCACAATGCAACGACAACAACAAAGAAACAGAAAATGCCCCCACAAAAAGGTATGCCTCAGATTGGGAAATGTTTAAACAATGAAACCTAGTGTTTCTATTCACTGAAATGTTCTCTTCCAGAATGAAGTTAAGTTCAAATTTCCAACACAAGCTCTTTTCTGACCTTTCCTGAATGCAGTTTGGATTGAAGCCACTCCACACCCCACYCTGATTAAACGCCACGGTACTTACTGCTGTTTAGATCTATGAGGAAAACCCTCTTGAGATGTTTGTGATAGACCAAGGCAGCRTGGACCCGAGAGCAGGACTGGTGGTCAATGGTGAAGTCGCACAGATCAGGGTTTCTCCCAAAAAGATAATACTTCTTCTCATCAATGATGAGTTTCTGAGTAGAATATCACAAAARCAGGTTAGATTCCTATAATCTCTCCTGAAAACCACCCACTCCTTGCATGTTCCAAGTTGAACTCTGCATTGCTTTGCTCAACACTTATTTCTGTAACATCTTCCAGGTCTCATACTGCAAGTTCTTATAAACTGGTACTCGCTAGTAAATAYATGAAATGCATTAAACATTTATTCTCTTTTAGATCACAATGAGAACACAAATATCTGTCAAGCCCACACTAGTACATACGACAGACACTGAACTTCTGCTTCTAATTAATGTCTTATTCACAACTAATGCAAGGTGTCCGTATTAAATCATTGCTTCAGGACAGTAAGTGCTGGGAGATCTACTGATTTACGTATGTTTACATATAGATTGCCAAGCTGTCTGTGTATCAACCACAGGAGTCCACAACTCATTTGACGGTGCAGACCACCTTGTTGTCAAGAGCTTCACCTTCAAATAGATGATCTGGTGACAAATAAGGCTGAGGTGCGAAATGAAGGATGATTACCCTGCAGCTGGGACATGTGAAACACGCTGTTGGCTCCTTTGAACCTCCCTGTCAGGGAACAGCACCCCTGGAAGTCTCGGTTTAGAGGGGACAAACCAAACAGGACATCAATATACTGAGACACGATTCATGCATTCTGCTGGCTACGTTATTGTCACCTCCTAGCTCTTCACTGCTGCTGGTTGCCACAAGACTCCCCAGCTAACCAGAAAGCAGAGACCACTGGTAAGAGCTTATGCAACTACTTGGGTTTCCAGCAAGACGAGCTGGAGATCTGTGTGCCGTCCCAGCACCATGATCTCATAGGAATCACAGAAACGCGGTGGGATAGCTCAAACRATTGGAGTGCTGTCATGCAGGGCTATGTGCTCTTTAGGAAGGACAGGCTGGGAAGGCGAGGTGGTGGAGTTGCTCTGTATGTGAGAGAGCACCTGGAATGCATGGAGCTCAGCCTGGGAGTGGATGATGAGGGGGTGGAGAGCTTGTGGGTAAGGGTTAAAGGGCAGGCCGACGTGGGAGACACTGTGGTGGGTGTCTGCTACAGGCCACCTGACCAGGAGGAGGAGGTTGACGAGGCCTTCTACAGGCAGCTGGAGGTTGCCTCACGGTCACAGGCCCTGGTTCTCATGGGGGACTTTAACTTCCCTGACATCAGCTGGAGAGACGGCACAGCGAGGCACAAACGGTCCTGGAGGTTTCTGCAGTGCGTCGATGACAACTTTTTGACGCAGGTTGTGGAGGAGCCGACGAGGAGAGGTGGGCTGCTGGACCTCGTACTAACAAACAGAGAAGGCCTTGTTGGAGATGTGAAGGTGGGGGGCAGCCTTGGCTGCAGTGATCACCAGCTGGTGGATTTCAGGATCCAACGAGGAGGAGGAGGCAGGGCAGCAAGTAGCCTTGCCACCCTGGACTTCAGGAGGGCCAACTTTAGCCTCTTCAGAGACCTGCTGGGAAAGATCCCATGGGCTAGGGCTCTAGAAGGAAGAGGGGCCCAGGAGAGCTGGTTAGTTTTCAAGCGGCATTTCCTCCATGCCCAGCAACAGTGCATCCCTATGCGCAAGAAGGCAGGCAGAGGGGGCAGGAGACCTGCGTGGATGAGCAGGGAGCTCCTGGAAAAACTCCAGCAGAAAAAGGCAGTATACAGAATGTGGAAGAAAGGACAGGCCCCTTGGGAGGAATACAGGAGCGTTGTCAGGGAATGCAGGGATGCTACGAGGAAAGCCAAGGCACGCTTGGAACTAAATCTGGCAAAGGATGTTAAGACCAACAAGAAAAACTTTTTCAAATAYATTAATAACAAGAGGAAGGTCAGGGAGAATGTGGGTCCACTGGTGAACAGGGTGGGTACCCTGGTTACGGAAAACACGGAGAACGCAGAGCTGCTRAATGTCACCTTTGCTTCTGTGTTTGTCAGGGGCAGCCCTCTAGAATCCCAGRCCCTAGGGACACAGGAAGAGAGCCAGAGGGAGGAAGGCTTGCCCTGGGTAGAGGAAGAGAGCATCTAGGGAGMCTCGACACCCACAAATCCATGGGCCCTGATGGGATGCACCCCAGGGTGTTGCAGGAACTGRCGGATGTCMTAGCCGAGCCGCTCGCCATCATCTTTGGAAGGTCCTGGAGAACGGGGGAGGTGCTGGAGGACTGGAAGAAAGCCACCGTCASTCCGGTCTTCMAAAAAGGCAAGAAGGAGGACCCGAGTAACTACAGGCCGGTGAGCCTCACCTCCATCCCCGGGAAAGTGATGGARCAGCTCATCCTGGCTGCTGTCTCCAGACACGTGGAGGAGAAGAAGGTGCTCAGGAGTAGCCAGCATGGATTCACCAAGGGGAAATCATGGACTAGATGATCTCTAGAGGTCCCTTCCAACCTTAAATATTC